GATTTTAGAGTGAGAGGAAGGGAGAGATAGAAACATAAATGAGAGAGAAACATCAGTCAGTTGCCTCCTGCATACTTTCCATCAGGGACTGAGCCCACAACCCATGCATGTGCCCTGACTTGGAATCAAACCAATGAGTTCCTGGTTCATGGGTTGACACTCAACCACCGAGTAACACCAGCCGAGCATATTTAATCTTAAATAAAAAGACTTAACTGGGAAAAATGCATGAACCATTGATTTATCTCATTGGAATTGTGTTGCATTGAGTGTGGATTATTTTTGCTTGAGTTTATGTGGCAACCAATGACCAGCTGTGTGCCCAGCACTGTGAGGGCTGCCATAGACACACAGCAGTGTTTTCGCATATTAGGTAGAGTTTATTTTCCTGCTTTTTGTTTTTGGGTTGGCCCTGTAATTTGCTTTGCTCAGTAGAATGTGGTAGAAGGGATTTGTGCCATTTGAATCTATTCCTCAAGCATGCAGCCTCCATTCTTGGATCCTTGATCCCTGATACCAACATGGAAATAATCCTGGCTAGCCTTCTGGAAGAATACAGACCATGTGGTGAGAGACCCAGGTATCCTAGCTGAGGCCATCCTATACCAACCAACATCTCGCCCATTTGCCATCTGATTGATTGCAGATACACAAATGAGCCCCGATGCCCAGCCCAGACTAGAGAAATTGCATGGCCTACCCACAGAATCATAAGCTTACTTTTAGAGTGCTTATTGGGTATCAAATTCTAACAGATGCACCCACTTTCCTGTACTGGCAAATCCCCATTGGAAGACAATGCCATGACCACATCTGATTGACAAAATTATCTAGAAATGTTAACAAACTATAATGTGTTCAGATCAGAGCAAGGAGAAGGTGGATAAGAAGTTAAGGAAACTTAACTTGGAAAGTAAGGATGTTTATAGGGGCACAAGCTCTACCTTCTGAGATTTGACAATAGTGGGAGAAGTGGGATGAATTCTTTGTAACTTCTATGGTGAATTAAATGATTGGCTGCAACTTACATACCATTGTCTCTATTCCTGCCATGGTGGGCAGAGTGTACTCTCCTCTTGAATACTTTTTTTTTTTACATTGGACTTGGATCTGTGACTTGGATTGACCAATGAAATGTAGGCAGAAGTTACAGAGTGCCTATAGTGCACTTACTCTCCTGTATTTCTGCCATCACCATAATAACATCACCATAATAAGCATGTCCCAGTTGGCCTGGTCCCAAAGGAGGATGAGAGAAAAGCAGAGGACAGCCATGCCCACCACCCTGCAGCAGGCAACAGAGCCTTTTCAGCAGCCTATAGGGTCATGAGTGAGAAATCAATGCTTATTGTTATATGCTCTGAGGGTTTTGGTATTGATTCAGACCCAATCCTATTTGACCAAAATACTTTAGAGATTAAAATTAGGATCAATGAACAGCTGTATCAAGGAAGCAAACTTCCATTGCATTTAAGGAGGGATCTTTTTGCCAAGGAAAAGAACTGTCCCAAGATGAAACATACGGTATAATTAGGAATCCCTTCATGGGATATTGAACCATCAGGAAGCTATACATGGTCTTCTTACTTAGAAGGGGGGCCACACTTTCATTTCGGAGTGAGTAGGATGCTAAGCAATGTGGGGAATAGTTAGGAGGTAATTTCAGTTGTGTTTTAGCCCAAAGGGGGGATGAGCATGGAGGGGTAGGTATGTGTGCAGAGAAGGTGCTGGTTGGGAAGAGTAGAGGCTGTCAGGAGATTTGAATGCCCCACTTGGATTTTGACCTTTGATTTAAACCTGTGTGAGTTTGTTATTTAGCGAGGAACCCCTCCCTCTTATCTCCAAGTTCCATTCATTCCTGAAGATCCTGCTCAAATCCAATATTCTCTGTGCAAATTTTCCCTGACCTTTTCCAGCCTGCAGGGTCCAACCGATCTCTGAACTCTTTCATCTTGGCTGTCCCAGCTTTTTCCTTGACTTTTTGTTTTAATTTGCATGCTGTCTTAACTTTTTCCTTGACTTTTTTCAGACTGAGACAGATGTTTTCCAATTGCTCACATAGTATTTCCTCACTGCTCTGTACTATGCTCGTCTCTCCTTAAAATTGTGAGCTGGTTGAAGGCACGGAGTGTGGCTTACTCACCCTGGTGTCCCTCTTATCTACCGCAGTGCCTGGTACACACTGGGGCTTCAGTAAACATTTCTTGAGTGAGTAGATGTAGATTTCTTTCATCTTTCTGACGCAACTGTCAACTCCTGAATGGCAATTGGTACTTACATCCTCACAGTGTTTCAAGGCCTGTGCATTTATTCAATCAACAAATATTTGATGAATGAGCCTAACCCTGGCTTACAAAACCCTGTGTCACCGGGCTCCTACCTACTCCAATGACATCATCTTGTGTAATTCCCCCTCACTCACTGTCCTGCTCAAGCCACACTGGCCTTTTCTCAGCTCTTTGAACCCTTAAAGCTCATCCTCACGGCAGGGCTTGCCTAGTCTCCTTGCCTGCAATCTCTTCCCTTTGATCTTCTATGGAGTCCTCCTTGTCATTCCGATCTCAGTGTAAAGGTCACCTCCTTCAAGAATCCTGTCCTGAATGCTGAATCCATGGTGCCACCCTGCCTCTCTTCATTACATCTTCAATCCCAGTTCTCTGCGGGACATTCATGAGGTTTTGATAATTTACTTATTTCCTCCCTCTCCTCTTCCTTCCTTCCTTCTTTCCTCCCTTTCTTACTTCCTTCATTAGTATGCTTCTTTATTGATCGATTGTCTCTCTCAGCTAAAATGTAAACTTCATGGTAACAGGTAACTTTTTGGTCTAATTCATTGCTGTATCCCTAATGTATGATAAATATATATTGAGTGAATGGATGAATGAATGAACGAATGAGTGAATATGGATCCAGTTCTCAGCTGTGCATTGTGAATACAGTAGAAAGAAGACAGACAAGATTCTTGCCTTCAAGTATTTTACAGTTTTTGCTGAGTGAATAATCATATACATGGTACAGCAGAAAAACCGAAACCACATCAGTAAACAACAAACACAAAACAAAGCACACTGGAGTATATGTGGCCCATCTGATGTACTTAGATCTCAGCTTCCTCTGTGAAATGAGAAAAGTAATATTTAGACATATTCATCCATGGGACATGTGCAGTCAAATGTATTAAAGAAGCTTATATCGGTCTACCCATCTGGTCTACTCCAGAGAACTGAAGTTCTACTCCAAGTATGGCTTTGGTGGTTTCAATCCAATGACAACAATGCTTCTGTCGTAGGTCCTCCTGGAGTGTTAACTGTGGAGGTGGAACTGATATAGTTCATGGGCACTGCATTGCACCATGGACTTGGATTCCTCGGAAGCCTTAGTGTGACCGGGAGGTCTCATTAGTTGCTGTGCCAGCCACTGAAAAAACATGAAGAGTCAGGACACACTGTAGAAGGGATGGTCTCTGCAGAGGTGCAGTGGAGAACTGCTGGTCATGCCTGAAGTGCCAGCATTGGATGGATTAAAACAGCAACACCATTAGCAGCCACCTGCATGGACACTCGATGCCACTGTTCTGCTCCATTAGCTAGATCTCGTTCACTTCTAACATCCAAAACAAGCATGGCATCCAGTGACCAGGGCTCTGGTCAGGGTGAGTCCAGGTCTTGGGTAGTTCTTTCTGGAGACTGGGTGGTTGGGTGTCTAGGGGGCCAGGTCCCCAGAAGCCCTGGAGAAGGGGTGAGGGGCAAGGGCAAGGACAGTTGCACAACAGAACTCCCAACATTAACTCCTCTCTGATTCTAATCTGTTTTCCCCTCCCCGCTCCACCTACACAGATGTGCCCTTTCAATATTTATTTGCTCGCCTCTGCTGCGTGTGGCAGACTTTGTCTCAAAAGTCAGCCTGATCCCTTTGAAGGTGTTTACTAATTAGATCAGGCGGGGAAGTTAGGCAACTTCAGACATATTTATCCTGGGGAAGGTAGTTCCTGGGCCTGCGACCCCTCACTGCCCCCGGGAGGCCAGCTGCGGGTTCCCTGCTTCCCTTCTTTATCGGAGGAAGTCCCAATGATTGCCCACTGAAGCTGAATGACAGGACATTAGTTCCTGACACGATTCTAAGAGGGATATAAGAGTGACAGGAGCCTGATTGTGGATTAGTCGCGTGCTGGGCTCAATTTGACGCAGGCCACATGAAATCCTTACTCAGCGTGACACAGCATCTGGGCCATCAGTATCGGATCTGATGTTGGCTTGAAAGGAAAATTGCTGCTGCGGTAGTTCAAGTTCAATAGACACTCAGGTCACTGCCCTCAAGCATTTTAAAATAATATTTGCTTTGGGAGAGTCTGTGCACGTGTGTGAGGGTATGTGCTTGAGTGTGCATGAGTGGGGCATGTGGGTGTATGTTTGATATCTGGCTGGAGGAGCTTTCGGAAGAGGCGAAGTTTAAAGCGAGAGGTAGAACTCTTATATTGTGCTGGGTCTCAAGGCAGCCTCAGCCCATGGTCCAGGCTCATTTGATTCCCGACAGCCACTTCAGCTGTTGTCTCTGCTCTGATGGACAGGGAGACGGGCTGAGGATGGCTACAGGGAATGTCTGTCTGTGGTCGTAGAGATCCCTGGCTCAGATGTCTTAGCTTGTCCACCGGCAAGGCGATGCACTTCCTTCTCGTAGATCAGTGGCATGAAGTCCCCTGGAGGGCACCGAAAACCATGTTGGGAATGATGCCTGCCAGCCGGTGACAGAAATGTAGGTGTCCACAGGCTGTGCTTGGCATGGCCTTCCTCTCCCCCACAGAGCCGAGAGCACCCTCCTCCCTGATCACGTGTTTGCCATGGTCCATAATTTACAGTTTCTTTTAAAATACATATATAGTTTCAAATTGATTTCAGAAGGGAAGGGAGAGGGAGAGACAGAGAGAGAGAGAGGGAGAGAGAGAGAGAGAGAGAGAGAGAGAGAGAGAGAAACATCAGAGATGAAAGAGAATCATTGATCGGCTGCCTCCTGCAGGCCCCACACTGGGAATGGAGCCCTCAGCCCGGGCATGTGCCTGACCGGGAATCTAGCCATGACCTCCTGGTTTATAGGTGGATGGTCAACCACTGAGCACCACCAGCCAGGCAATTTACAGTTTCTTGGTAAGTTTACTATTAGGCTGGAAGCACCTTAGCCTTGTAACCTCAGCGCCTCACTGTTCCTGGATTAGCAAGGGGTATCAGATGGACCAAATGGACACATCTCACAGGCAGATCCAGGCTTATTAAAGAATGCGGCCTCTGTTAATAAAATGGAAAGCAGGTTGTCCAAGTTCGAGTTGGATGGAGAGTCATGGGGGCAGCAGGGTGGTGGGGGCCGAGCCAGCAGTACCGGCGCCCATCTTCCCATTCGGGGAGGCTGGCTTCCCCTTCCCTCTCTCTGCCACCTTCATGCTGGTGTTATTCTGCTTCCTGATTTTGCATAAATCTGAATGTGGATTAACTACCTTCTCATGTTTCTGGGGTTTGGCAGTAGAGCTTAGTAGTCAGAGCTTCTAGGACTAAGCAACCTGAAACTGAATTCTGTGTCCACCACGAACACGCTGTGTGGCCTTGGGGAAGTCACCGGTCTCTCTGTTGCCCCTCGTCAGTGTCTTCAGTGGTGCAGTGGAGGTGATGTCATTATTTTAAAGGTTGTGATGAGGAGCAGATGAGAATCTGTGCAGAGGCCTGAGGAGAGGGTCCGGCTCAGTGTCATGCTCAGAAATGTGAGCTATTCCTTCCTGCAACACAGGGCCGTGCCCTTCCATTTCACACGCAGCTGGGGGAGGCCTGGAGAAAATGGATACGCAGAGCCCGACTCCATAGACGGCAGTTATTACTATCATTATTATTGGCTCCCCAGAACAGATCAAAAGGACAAAAGATTTTGCAACTTCCTAAGGGATTGCACAAACAAAATGACTCAGAATTAAGCTTTGAGAATACCTTGATATTTCACTCTCAAGGGTTATGAGTCTCATATACTTTTGAGGACAAAAGACCCAGCAAGGGAATCTCTCTTTTTAATGCTTAATTTCTGAGACACACCTTTTTCCTGGGGACTGACAGCAGGAAGGATCTCCCACTTCAGAAAAGACCTTCTTTCTATTCTCAGGGCCTTAGAATTACCCCATGTCAAAAATGCCAAAACTTCGGGCAGTAACATCACCACCTCAGGAATTTTACACCAAGCTCTTCCAATTCCATCACTCCACAAATTTTTATCATATTCGTAATGGGTAAATTTATGAGTATATAACTGTTATAATTTGTTATATATTTAAACAAAAAATGCAATTCTATCCCAACTATTATTTTGAAATCTTTTTTTCCACTTAATAATATATCATAAACTTCCTGTCAGATCAATGAAATATTTTTAAACCATTTTGAATGACTGCTAAGTATTACATAATGGGAATATATCAGAATGTCCTTAACCAAATCCCCATTTGTAGACCTATAGGCTGTTTCTAATGTTTCCTCATTAAAAACAACTCTGTGATGAACATACATACACCAAATTGTGAGCATGAAATAAGTCACTAGTACTGGTCTTTCTAATTTAAAGGACATGCCTTTTTTAAGGCTTTTGATAAGTACTGCCTAATTGTCCTTCCAAAAGGCTTTACCAAGTCTCTCCAAAAATCTACGACTATACTTCCCATTTTTAAACTTCTTGACACACATAAGAAAGGATGCAGGGCAGAGAGAAGAATCTGCTCAAAGGGACCAACTTCCCTGGGGCTTCAGGGTTAAGGGGAGTAGTGTAGTGTCCCGCATGCCCTTGACTTGTTCCATGTGTCCCAGTGTTCTGCTCCATACTGTTGGGCTGTTCTATCTATCAGTCTTCATACCTCCCAATGACACTGGATTCTGGTTTCAGAAAGAAGCCATTTTTTCTTAGGGAACGAGGCTAAATGGTGGTGTTGGCAGGAGAGTGGAGAAAAGACAGATGGGGCCAGGGTTGGGGTGGGGGGGGCGGGCAACAGGTGAAGAGGTGTCGACCTATGAGCTTTTCATGGGGCATAACCAGCTATTGTGGCTTAAAACTCCAGCACAATTTTCAGGCAATACTTTCTAAGAAGTCCCTAGTTTTGTTGGAGGCTAACTACGGATCATTCTCTGCATGTTCGTGGAACTCTATGGATCTGAGTAAAGAGTAATGAGGAAGGATAACTTATTAGGGATTTCTAAGACCTGGGAAACACAGAAAGGAATCCGGCCCAACCTTTCTGTTGAGCCTTTATTATAGAGCTGATGGCAACAGCTGGTCTTTATGAAGGCGACTGTGGCTTATAAAGCTTTTATGAAATCTCTGTCACCCTTTTGGTAAGTCCTGTGTCATGCAGAAGAGTGCTGAGCATACGGCCCACCCCGCCTATGACTTCTCCCAGGTTTCTGCCATTTCCAGGGAGGGGAACTCAGCATTTTTTGGCTCTTGCCAAGAAACCAAATCATTGAAGCTATGAGACTTGTTCCCAATGGTAAGATCTCGTTTGATGAGAATGTAGCTTTCTGTCATTCTGGTGCGTACTGGCTTGGGTGTGGTCTCCCTAGCATCTGCTGGAATTTGATGAGTGAAGGGTAATTCTCAGATTTAAGGTCTTGGTTATATGACTTTTGTTTCTGGGATTTTGAAGCCTGAGTGTTTGTTCCAAGGCTAAGTGGTCACTTGCAATTCATCACAACTAAGGCAGCTTTGATAGTGGTATTCAACTCCATTCTCCCTTTTTCTCCAAGATCATTGTTGAACTTCCCCCTCTTTAATCACCTAGACTGTAATGGTTCTGGTTTTCTAAACCTCTGGTTGCTGTGAGCCTCTGTTCATCACTTACCTGCCCTCTTTCCTCCCATTCTTTTTCTCCACATGTTACTTGAAAGCAAAAACTCAGAATGACATATTAAGTACCTCAGGCACTTCATTCAATGACAAAGAATCAACGGTGCGTGGCCTGATCTTTGATTCCATCCCCTGATGATTAGGTAGGCTTTTCTGCTGCCATTGTCTTTGTAGCTTGGTTGCCATTGTTTACTTTCTGGGAATCTTGGAGATGAAAAGAATGTTAAGCTACCCGCTAGCCCAGCCACTGGCTTTCAAATCACCTCCCTGATTATCTGTCCGTCTTTATAGGATGGTGCTTCTCACCTTGAATGACTACTATGTTCCAGCCTTTCACTCCTGCCTTAGAAAGGTGGCCAGCCAATTAAACCCTGATTGATGCCTTTTCTTTCAATACTTGTGATCAGGAATAGGCCTCAACACCAAAGGTTTCTGCTAACCTTTGCTGTCGATAGTTTTTTTTTTTTAAATATGTTTAATTGGTTTCAGAGAGGAGGGGAGAGGGAGAGAGGGATAGAAACATCAATGATGAGAGAGAAGCATCAATTGACTACCTCCTGCACACCCCCTACTGGGGATTGAGCCCACAACCTGGGCATGTGTCATGACTTGGAATTGAACCTTGAACTCCTGGTTCTTAGGTAGACACTCAACCACTGAGTTACACCAGCCAGGCATGCAGTTGATAATCTTGATGTAAGCCAGTTCATGTCTTTGTCCTTCAGTAGTAGCAAGAGTGTCAGTTTGAGGAGGAAATAAAATGATTGTCATGCTGAGATCTCTGCAAAGACTGATGTGATAATCACCACACAGGGCAATGAGTATTTTTTCAGAATAACAATGATGATAAAATCAATGGTGAAAACATTAGTAAAGATTAAATGGCCATTTGGGCTTTGGTTATTCACTAGGAGGAGACATTTTTATTGAATGGCAGCGGGGGGCCGGAGGTTGGGGTAAAACTACTAGTTTTCTTAATCAAGGAGTGACCTCTTCTGGGGAAAGGAAGCACTGGGGGCTGAGAACATCTGCACCCAGACAAGCAAGCTGTGCTGGAGTGGATGGTCCCCGGGGGAGAAACTCTCAGGGTAGATGTCACCCTGGGCGACCAAGTGGAAAAGAAAAAGCGACGAACTGAAACCAAAAATGACTTGCCCAGTAGCTTTCTCAGGGAGAGCCCTCATAGCGAGAGCCAGGGAAGTCATGTGGGCCTGCTCCATGCACCGTGGCGGGGCCTCTGGCCAAGCATGCTGCCCAGATCCTGGAACCTGAGACCAGCCTTTCGGGTGAATGGTTTAAGGAAGGTCCAGATGGGGAGTGTATCTTTGTCTATTCCTAACTAGACGAGAAAAGAAAGGCAAGGCTCAGAGAGCAGTGAGGTCTAGAAGAGCCAGGGGCTTTGGCTCAGTGGTCCTTTGGGAGCAGGTAAGGGGCAAGCCTGTAGTCCTGCCAATCGGACTGGGAGTGATGAAAACCAAAAAGGATGCTTTTCCTCCCCACTGAATATCACCAACTTCATCTGAAATTTAAGGTCTTGGAAAGGAGGAAGGAAATCTTTTAGGAAGCCTTCCTGGTGACTCCAGCCCCAATGCACCCCTCTCTTCTGGTGCCTGGAGGACTTAAGCTGCGCTAGCTGGTGGAGCATTTAATCAGACGTGGTCTGTGGGGGCAGTGTCGCACATCACGTTTCCAAGGCCACAGGCCACGGCTTCCACATAGACTCCTGGGCGGCAAGGATGCAGGGTTAATGGAAATCATATTATCCTCCCCCTTGTGAAGTGGGATTTGGAAGAGCTGGAATCAGACAAGGGAAAGGACTTGCCCAAGGACTCCTGTTCAGACTAGATTTTTCTGACCATCCTCTCCTAACGGTCAGTAGTGACTCCTCCACTATCCTCCAACTCCCCACCGTCTGCTAAATTGATTGGTAATATTAATCATACCTGCATGCTAGATTGATTAGTAACAGGAGATCGACAGTTTGTTAAGCATTTACTGCTTTCAAGTCTCTGTTCATTCATTTATTCAGCAAATATTGATTGAGTGCCTACAATGTGCTAGAAGCTGGGGACATGGTACAGTCGTCTCTTGGTATCCATGGGGGGTCAGTTCCAGCATCCGCCAGAGATACCCACATCTATAGATACTCAAGTCCCTCATAAAAAATGGCATAACAGCCCAACAAGCGTGGTTCAATGGTAGAGCATCAAACTATGAACCAGAAGGTCACAGTTTGATTTCAGTCAGGGCACATGCTCAGGTTGCCGGCTCAATCTCCAGTGTATAGCATATAGGAGGCAGCCGATCAATGATTCTTTCTCATCATTGATGTTTCAATCTCTCTCTCCCTCTCCCTTCCTCTCTGAAATTGATAAAAAAATATATATATTTTTTTTTAAATGGCACAACATTTGCATATAGCCCATGCACATCCTCCTGTATTCTTTAAATCATCTCTAGATTACTTACAATACCTAAAACAATGTGAGAGCTGTGCAGAAATTATCTATGAAAACATACTATATAAATTATTACTATCCCACATGATGACATATGGGAAATGGTTCCACTGTTTTGTTTAGGGAATAATGACAATAAAAAAGTCTGTACATGTTCATTACAGATGCAACCATTGTGAGCCTTCATAGTCCACATATAGTTAAGCCTAACAACAATGTAACCTTTTATTTTTTAGACCATTTTTGATCTGCGGCTGGTTGAATCGATGGATGCGGCACCTGAGAATGTAGAGGGTGGACTTCAGTAAGTAAAACATTATAAGCTCAGGTATTTTCAAAATTTTTATCAACAACGATCAAACTAAAACTGCAGCCTCTGAAGACAAGGGTTCTGGTGCAGTGAGAGACTACAATGGAAGGGTGGGGTTGTTAGTCCAGGAGAGCTTCCTGCAGGAAGTGGCCATTCTCTTCGTATCGTTGCTCAGACCTAATGTCTCCGACTCCTCCTTGCCTCCTCTTTTTGATAGTTTCCCTGATTGCATCCTGTCCACCAGCAATGTGATGGGCTCTGCCCCTGAAATATGTCCAGATCCACTTTCTTCTCACTCTTGCAGTTTTCCTTTGCACCCAAGCACCCCTGCTGTTGGCACATGGTCTCTCTGCTTTTGCCCTTGCCTCCTCATGGTCGAATGTGTTCGGACAATTCTGGATCAAAAATGTGTACATCTAGCCCAGCCAGTTTGGCACAGTGGCTAGAGCATCAGCCTGTGGACCAAAGGGTCCCGGGTTTGATTCTAGTCAAGGGCACGTACTTTGGTTGCAGGCTCCTCCCTAGTGGGGTCTTGTGCGGGAGGCAACCAATCGATGTGTTTCTTTCACACTGATGTTTCTCTCTTTCTCTCTCTCTTCTACTCTCCCTAAAAATCAATGGAAAAATATCCTTGGGTGAAGATTAACAAACAAACAAGCAACAACAAAAAAATGTGTACATCTTGTACAGCAGGACTTCTCAGAGGCTTTCATCGGCTAATCAGCACAGTGAATCTCTAACAGAGTGATACAGTATATAGCATGTTACTGACATATTTGATCACATGGAAAGCCTTCTGGATAACCCAGAAATTGTCTATGAAAACATATTATATAAATTATTACTATCCCACATGGTGACATATGGGAAATGGAGCCACTCCCAAGTTCGCTGAACTGGGAGTCAGGTAGCCCGAGTTCTAACTGTGTTAGCTTTTTCTGAGCCGAGTGGCCATGGGCAAGCGACCTAACTTTTCTGTGCTTCGTTTCCTCCACCCCATGACATACAGATCATAATTCCTGTTCTTTCTACTTTGCCAAGCTCTTCAGAGAATCAAATGAGATAATGGACATTAAAAAGGGGGCATCCCCCCCCCCCCCCCCCCCACACACAGTAAACCAAAGCAAAACAAAAACCAATACCACTACGGTGCCACTGCGGGCTCCTAAAAAAACATTAATATTTCCGGTGACAACATCTCTGCACTTAATCGTAATCAATGAGCAACAAATTAACATTTGGCTTATTTATTTGAGCAACTGGGAGTAAAACCCAGGGAGTTGCTGGCTTTTGGCTAGAAATCAAACAAAACAGAGAGTTAATTGGAGCTAAGGCTGCAGAGCATGCCAGCCCGTGTCGTGCATGGACATAGGCAAGAAAAGCCCGTTGCTGGACAGCATAGCCCGAAGAATGAAAAGAGCCCAGATTATGTGACTTGGGCTGGGAGATAAGAAGACCTGAAAATACCACACTGTAGGGAAAAGGCTATGAAACTGCAATGATACTGATAAAGAATTTATTACCACCTTAGCCAATGGTGGTGACATGTGCTCCACACAGAATCATTGAATGGCATTGTGTGTGGTGATTCAGGGATGGTCAGTGGGGCAGCTTGGGCACTCTAAGCTGGCAGAGTTCTGTGGGTCTTTGTAAAGTGCCCATTCAGAGTCTCTAGGTCATACTACGTCAGCAAACTCTGCCGATGTCCCCTTCCAGACCCAAACACTGCCAAGATCTCTTTCTCTCTAGGGTTTTCGGTTGGGACTGAATAGATGACCTTGAGCGTAGGACTCTGACCTCTAAGACTAATTCACACTCAACAAATACATCTTGACATATTTGTGGGCCAAGCCTTTGATGACAACGATGATGATGACAACAACTGATGATGACAGAATAAACAATGATAATAAAAAACATAGCATCCGGCCAGGTCAGTGTGTCTCAATAGTTAAGTGTCGACCCATGAACCAGGAGGTCACGGTTCGATTCCCAGTCAGGGCGCATGCCCAGGTTGTGAGCTCCATCCCTAGTAGTAGGGGGCATGCAGGAGGCAATTGATGAGTGATTATCTCTCATTGATGTTTCTGTCTCTCTCTCCCTCTCCGTTCCTCTCTCTGAAATAAATAAAAACATATAAAAATATATATAGCATCCATATGGCAGCTTAAAAGCCACTCATATCCAAGCCCTTCAAAATATGACCTGAGGTTGGTATTGATATCCCCACTGAACTGAAAGGAGAACCTGCAATCCAAAAAATTACCAGAGGTCACATGGCCAGAGGGAGCCAGGCTGGGGCAGGAACCTGATATTTTGTACCTCCATCTTACTATCTTTGTTTTACATGATGATGCTTCTCTGGCCACCACTCAAGGAAGTCAGTAACCCTTCTTGGCACTCAGTCTTGGAAAAACTCTTGCTGGAGTCTCTCACACCTGGAATAAGTCCCATTGCATAAGAGGTTTTGTGTTGGGGTGCTTTAGTAGGGCAAGATGATCTAGCTGATAGCAGAGTTGAGCTGTCACCAAATCTCTTACTGCTCATCAGAGAGTTTAGTTGGAGAGGCAACATACATTACAAATCACCTGGGCTCCCAAATCTGGCACTTACTGTGTAACTGAATATGTTTGTGGCTCAGTTTTTCCACCTGTACGATGGAGCTTAGAATATTAGCCTGGTGGGGATGTTGTGAAGCTTACGTGAATATATATGTAAAGCACTTGCAACGGCCCCAGTAGGCATTAGCCACATTGTCCGACACACATAACATGGGCTGTATACTCTTTGTTTCCCTTGTATCTTGTTATTCGCGCTTTCCCCTAACTCATCATCCAACAGTAATTATGTGTCTCCACTAGACTGAGAAGTCTTGAAAAGCAGAGCGCTAGTCAGATTCATGTCTCTATCTCTAGTGTCTGGTACATAGAAAGTCCCAAAGAATATTATTAATTAAATGTGCGGATGAGTAAATATACAAATAGCTGTTCAGTGTAGCCAATTTAGAAGAATTAGATGAACTATTTCCATTACTTGTTTCTGGAAATGATTTACAGTTATAATTTCTTCTGACACAATAAAAAAAACCCCGAACACACAAGTAGGTGGATATCTTCATAAAGACTTGTCCTTCCTGCACTCACACTTTGACCAATATGTCTTAAAAAGGAGCCAGTGCTCATTGGCCAAATTCTCTGCAGTTAATTCTGTGTGTTATCTAGAATGTTCCCTGATTAGGTATTGATCCATGGGGACAGAGGCTATGCGCTGTGTTCTCTTATATCCCCAGCACCCAGGAACTGCTACTGTCAGCGTCTGTTGTAAATAAATGACCAGTGGCTGTTCTTTCATTTTTGCTACATGTCCATTGATCAGGAAGTTTCATGCCAAAGTGCTTTCTCCACCCACACACAAACCTGAAGATTGAGGTGTCAGTGTCCTGGGAGAGAACTCAATATACTTCAAAAGGTTTCTGTTTGCACAAAGCTGTTTACCAGGATTACTGAGCAAACAGGAGAAATGGAACAAAACGATAAACACAATCTGTGCTGCTTTCCTGTGGGATTTTCTTTCGGGGTATGTCCAGTAACAGGCGAAATTGACTTCTTGGAGGAAAGAGGAGAGGAAGGGAAATAGACACGTTATCATGCACCTCTGTCTCCTGTGGGTTTTGTGGCTCTAGCTGACCATGACTCTGCCCAGCCTTTGCTAATCACTTCTTTTTTGGACTGACCTACAGTTGGGTACATAGACCCGTGGCATTCCCTGGAAACACGGTGAGGTTGAGGCCGGGGAGTATGGTTTCGAGTGGAGTGACCTGGCCTTTCTCAGAAATGAGGGTTTGTTAAGTAACCGAATCCAGATGGCAGCACAGCCAGGGGGCAGGGAGCACTGTTTGGGCTCAGCTTATCAGCGTTGGCACCTTAATTGACGGGAGCAGAAAGGGACACAAATATTTGGGTAGCTGCTGGGTTTCTCACAGCTAGGAGGACCACAGCTTACCAAACAATCTAGCAGCTCCTTTAGTTTGAGGTGAACATTATTGTCTCCATGAACAGATGAGGAAACTGAGTCTCAGGTTCCCTGGCCAAACACTGGCAGAGCCCGGATCCAAATTCTGAGCTTTTGATGCCACATCCTGAGCTCTTTCCCTACAGGGAGATTCTAGGGGGCCTCCACTTCTCCCAGCCCCCACTTCAGGGGTTGGGTATATTTGGCTCATTGTCATTATCTAATTACCCGTGTGCTCTGAAGCTTGCCTTCCTCTCTGGGCAGCTCTGGGATATAGACTCATTCAATAGTGACAATAGATGTTGTTTTTTTCTGGGGTTTGAGAAGCACAGCTTAGTGAGAAGATGACCCGGGGGCTTTAGAACTCCCTGAATCATAACAACTCATGAACATTGAGCACTTCCTGAAGTCTCTACACGCAGGAGCTCACTCTTCCTTGCAATAACCTTGTGAAGGACGCATCATTGTTATATCCATTTTACAGATGGAGAGACTGAGGCTTGGAGAGATTGACGTGTTCCGGATTGCACAGCTGGAAAGAATTAGAGCTGGGAAGTGACTCGAGGCAGCTAGCGTGCTTAATCCTGACTCTGCAAATACTTGACAGACTAGGACAATGCCCGTGGTTCTCAAAGTGGTCCTCTGACCAGCCACATTGGCATCAACCAGCAGCTAGTCACCCCAGACCTACTGAGGTGGAAACTCTGGAGGTAGGCATAGCTATCTGGGTTGTAGCAGCCTTCCCGTGTAACCTGTACTGATATATTTGAGTCTGCTATACTGCTGTGCTCCGAGGGAAGAAGGGACTTACACAGAACACTGTGGGCACCAGTTGAGCTTCGTCTTGGGAAGATGTTTTTCCGAGAGGTACTGTTGTTTTAGGTTGTGGACCACACCCGAGGGAGTAGAGCAGAAGCAGAATCTCTCCAGAGAGAGGGTTTGATAAGAGGAGAAGGTGGGAAGAGGTGACATGCCAGCGCCCT